AGTGGGCATGTTAGAGAAACTTGCATATAAAACAAAGCAATACTTTTAAAATGGCAGGAAAATCCAATTTTAAAACACGAACAATTGGATATAATGTATGTCAGGGTTGCCAAGGTTGCCAAGGTCTTAAAGTTGCCAAGGTTGAGGAACCCTGACAACTTTAAGACAGGTGGACTTCAATTCCCAGATTTCTCCAGCCAGCAAGGCTGGCTGGGGAATTCTGGGAATTGAAGTCCACCCGTCTTAAAGTTGTCAGGGTTCCTCAACCTTGGCAACTTTAAGACCTTGGCAACCTTGGCAACCCTGACATACATTATATCCAATTGTTCGTGCTTTAAAATTGGATTTTCCTGCCATTTTAAAAGTATTGCTTTGTTTTATATGCAAGTTTCTCTAACATGCCCACTTAATATACTAACTTTTAAATATATCCTTTTTTGCATATACCTCTATGCACATTTTTGTACACAACTTTGTTCTAATATGTGCAGGTTTTGAGTGATAACTATTTTAAGAGCCATAGTAATAGAGTTCATTATTATGTATGCATAGGTGCTGTGAAAAAAATTGTTTAGGTGAAACACAGTACTTCATCTGAAAACAAATTTGGGACAGCTGGCTTTCATGGCTCTGATTTCATCTAGGCTTATGCTTCTGCAATTGGAAACACACATTTCATAGTGGAAACCAAGAACTAGTGAATACTCTGATGAAAGAAGAGGCAGCAATTACCACTAAACCTTTCTTTCTCTCACAACTTTGGAGGGTTCCTTAACTCCCTGGATAACTTTTTAGGGGGCAGAGGGGGTAGAGATAAAAAGCAGAATTTCAGAATGTTCCAGAGAATTTGCTTTAAGAGATGAGCAGCCCTCTGCCACTTTCCAAAGCATTATTCTCGTTCCTACCTGTTTCACATGTATCCAGATTTGCTGCTTTCATTTTTTGGAACAAGTTTGATTCTTGAATCAAGATGGCAGGATAATGTCATTGAAAAATACAAGTAACAGCAGCACAGATTTGACATGTCTAAGAATCTTTATAACATTTTCAAATACAAAGGCCCTCTAAACTCTTGCAGTTTACACTAAGTCACATATGGTTAACAGAATGATTTTAACATTTAAGTAATAAAAATAATTTATTAAACTTGTATTTGATAAATACCTGACTCTCAACGACTCTGAGGAGCTCACAACAAACACAGAAATTACAATAAAAGTGATAAAAGATAAAAGATAAGGATAAACGATGGCAAGTGCAATGAAGCAAGGGATCTCACTTAAAATAACAAGAGCTGCTAGCTTTGATTTAACAATATGTTCTAATAAATTTAACCAGGAAGTTCATAGTTCTAATTTTCTTCAAGGATATATCAATAGGTAGCATTATTTGATATTTCAATCCTATTTATATTTTTATTGAATGAGACTTCTCCTTAATCTTTGTTTATAGCTACCTGTGTTATGCAAAGCCTTTGATTGAAAGGGATGTGTTGCAGTATATAGGACTGTGTGTACAAACTACTTCTTTCAAAATTGTTAGAAGAAGCCTTTTATTTGCAAAGTCTACACAACTGCTTAGGAAGCTGCTCCTGGCTGCCTTTGTGTGCACATGTGCAACCACTTTGCTAGAATGAAATTAAAGTGAAGTGCCTGTCCATGCACATATATGCGGCCACAGCAGAGATCAATTTCTGAAGCAGCTGTGCAAGTCTTACCAATAACAGGAATGTTTTAATTATTTGAAAAGAAATGCTTCCTTTGTTTTAATAGGCATTGCAAAACAACCCTTTTGAAGCTGTTGTATAGATGTAGTAGCTGCTATTAAAAATATTAGGGTACACTAGCCATTTTCTTCATTTCCTTCAATTCAAAACAGGATCTGAGGTTTGCATGCACAAGAGGCAGCATATAAATTGTGTTGTTCACAGCAACTTAAATGATGTGAAACAATATTGATTTACTGCTCAGTGTTCTAAACGTTCTAAACCCCATAATGATTTTGGTGGCAGCTGTTTGTCAATGAGTAAAGACTACATTTTTAAAATATATTTATCAGATGCTGGAATGTTAAAGCCAGATACTCTCATTTTCTAAAATGTATCATTTTATATAATAAAGATATTTTATTATATAAAAATACATTATTTTGGTAACTGAAATATCTATTTGTCATCAAAGAAATATCAAAACAGAATTCTAATAGCAACAGCTTCAAACATGAGCTGGGGGCAGGGGAAAGGGAGGCACTGTAATGAAAATTAAAGTTTAAAACTATTTTTTAAAATAGCTGAAATTTCATGAGATTGCCAATTAGTATTCTTGCTCAAAATGTTCAGGCAAGATAAGAACAATGAAATCTCATGACATTTGGTAATCTCATGAGATTTCAGTCATTATTTTTATTAAAAGTAATATTTATTTAGTTTAGGATTGCATAAATACCATCTGTGAGTAACACATGTCTCACTGGGGCTACACTACAAAGCTTTGGCACTGAGTCAACAGAATGGTTACTTTAGCTTATTACTTCAGAACTAAACATACCACTGCAGTTGGGGCAATTTTAAGTGAACCAAACATGTAAAATTGAATTCAAGTTATACTTTCACAAATCTTTTAATGATATCATTATAAATGTATTGTATTGGAATATATTTCAAATATTCAGACTTGGAATTATCAATCTCTCTACAAGCAAGTAGCAAGACATCACAGAATTGTGGAGTTCTTGGGGTTCTCTGAGTTTGGTTCTTTTCTTGCAAACGTTTCATTACCTGGCTAGGTAACATTTTTTTGGGAGGGGGGGTAG